AAGTGGTGGTAATGCAGACACCTTCAATGCAAACTTCACACTCAAGAGGGTCTTTTAAGAGACCCTTCACGCAGGCTCAGCCCTTCTCGCTGCATCAGAGCTTCACGCAGCCACAGACCTCCACTCAGGCTGAAGGCTAGTCATCAGCTAGTCATCCAGATATTGTGAGTTATATCACAAAACAAGTGTTGTTTGCCATTCAGTAACAAAATCATTCAACGGGGATGCATAAACCTGCAATGCAGTCAACACCAGCATCATCAGTGTGGGAAGAGTCACAAGATGATAATCTTGATTTCTCAAGGGGCGTGGTGGGCAAGCTGGCTAAGGCGCCAGGCTAGTGATCCAGCGAGCATGAGGTGCCGGGATCGAGCCCACCTGTGACCGGGTGTAAAATCTTTGGAGTCAACTTTGTGTGCAGACTCTTTCAGTGTTGTCACAACCCCTAGGGTACAGTACACAACCCTGTGCACTTAAAAGAACCCACGAATCCGTTGGTATATGACCAGATGTGGCCACATGAATACGTGCCAACACCTAGTTGCGGGTACAGCAACGTGCAGTAAACTTGGACAAATTACTGTGACTATGTGTCCCAGTCCACCCAGCTGTGAATTGGGTGCCTCATAAGGATGGGAAAGCCTGAATACCTCGGTGCGCCTTGTAGCAGCAAGAGTTGTATAATCCCCAGGGAGTTGAGATTGATAATAAGATGTGCCGCTGAGATTGACATCCAATGAACAACGGGAAAATACTAGCGCCTTGAGCATGCACTAGTGCGTGGATATGTGTGCTATATCCAATAATAATAATACAAGCTCCAGAATGCCCTGATTCAAGAGAAACTTCGGGCCGAGTACAAATCTCGCTTTTTAAAAAAATCTGGTGCTCAGAGCTAAATGCTCGAAACAAGGTCAAAGCCACCAATACTTTTGCTGTGCCAGTCCTTTCCTATTCCTTTGGAGTAGTTGATCGGACTAAACAAGACATCCAGAGTCTTGACAGCCTGACCAGAAGGATCATGTCTCAGGGCTCCAGATAATTTTTCAACATCAGGAGTACATACTCCTTATTTGTTCAATATAGGAGTAATGGAACTGAATGGAAATTAATGGACTATCAGTAATCTTGTGTTTCGTTTCATATATGCACCACAATATTGCTACTCTTGTGTAAACAGGTCAATAAACAATAAAACAATACTTTTTTCAGATAAATACACCTGTAAATGATACTAAGACCGTACACCATTGCTGTGGTGCGTATCTGCTACATTTTCTAAATTATTTCCTACCGTATCGTGCATATTTTTTATCCGTACATACGCCGGTACAGCCCTTATCTGGATCCCTGATGTCTGATAACAGAGCTCACCACCCTCGTTCCTGTCTCAATCGTGTATATCTACCAATCAATTCTGGAGGTCGGGGTTTGATTAATGTGGAGGCTCTTCATGATAGGATTTTATTGTGTACTTTTGCACATATTTATTTATCGGATGATCCTCTGGTGATGCATGTCAAGACTCATCATGAAAGCAAAGAATTCCACAGCTATTTTAAGCGTGCCAAGGTTGTTGGACATAATATGAAATTTGAGGTTGATTTTGCTGATGGCGATGTACTGCTGGACGGTACAGAGATGGGAGTAAACCAGGTAGAGTTATTCACCAAGTCTGCCCAGAGTCGGTCATTTGTGGAGAAGCTTTCTGAGAAACCATTGCATCGTGTGTACATGCAGTGTGTATAACAGGGCAGCAATCTAACTGACTACTTCGCCTGGATGAAGTCGGCTGGTCTTAAATGTGAAACTGAGGGCTTCCTTTTTGCTGCTCAGGACCAGTCACTTCCCACTTGCAATCACCTAAATGTGATTCTAAAAGAAAATATTTGCATGAAATGTCGATTGTGCAATGAATTTACAGAGACTGTCCAACACCTTGTCAGTGGATGCCCTTCTTTGGCACAAACATCATATCTTAAGAGACATGATGGCATGGCTTGCTGCTTTTACTACTACCGTCTCCGCCATGTCTGTGGCTTTTACTCCGAGGTCCATCCATTGTGTTCGATCTTTAACCAACAAACTCAAGTTTATTTGGAAACGGTTTTTAACCTCCCAGAACTTGATTCAAGTCCCAGAAGATTCTTGGTTGAAGGTACAAGAAACTCTGCCAGCAGCTCTGTACCAACAGATAACTGTCAATCAAATGACAAGCACTGTAAGGCTTACTAACGTGAGCCCAATCACTTACAAGGAGGGGCAGACTGCAATTTTAACCCATCCAGCAGTTTTTAACCCCATTTCTGGATCAGCAAGACTTCAGACCACAACTACCACCTCATCTACTGCAGTATCTTCAATGGTGGATATCAAAATTGAACGTCTGCGCGTGCAGGCACCTTTTTGAATGAGCCAAACTTCAAACATCACCTGTACTTATGCCTTAGGTCTGTAGTCTCCAGAAGAAAAGCAACTGCATATCAATCACCTGGAATTTTGAGGCAGGCATTTGGGCTATCAGCCATTAGAACATAGAACTTGGCTCAGCTTCCAACCCAGTGAGAGCGCTAGAATCCGCACCAGCGCTACATGACAATTTCTCCATCCCTACCATCGGTGGTCGGATGTTCTTGGAAATCAGATACTGTGTTTGCCTATCATTATCTCCTAGACTTCGCTCCTGAGAATGTGGAGGGTATACAATTTCAGACCCCTAGTGGTCACACAAGAATTGGCATTACCTAATCGGACATGAGAGATAAAAATCTAATGCTAATCATGCAAAATCATAGAAGTCAAGTTACCATTTAATGATCATAACCACCGACTCAGAGTGCATGTAGACCTGTCTTCATGAGAAATCAGAACATGAGTGATGAACTAATGAGTAAGATTTAGGGATCATTCTCTTAACACGTTAATCATTGGTAAGCAAGATTGAATCTAATTCTAAGCATGCTAACCAAAATCGACAGAATCAGTGTGGTTCACTCCTCTCACAAGTTTGGAGGTGGTGCCTCTCTGGAAGAAGAAGCAGATGACCAAATATATAAAGCATACATTCTCATGGGGTCATGTAGAACAGATCGTCGATCTGAATCAGGCAAACGGTGGATCCCACCACTTTAATGTGGGATTCAATCAATTAGTATGAGTCATGAATAAGGATAAAATGTATCAAATAAGTAACATTTATACTTATCCTGACTCATACGCTATAGCGCCCACCCAGCTATCTCCGCTAGCCAGTTTCAGAAATGAGAGAGTGACGAGGCATCTGTGTTGTCACATGCTTCCGGTGTCATTGCGATGCTTGGGGTGCTTTCAGGTAAGATGTTTTTCTGTTCTTTCACTGGAGTTTCCACTACCATTTTGAAATGAGAAGTGTTAAGTGATTAGTATGAGTCAGGATGAGTATAAATGATAATTTTATGCCCTCCCCCCCCCAATACTTTTTGAATTGAAAATATCACTATTCATTTTATATGGTATTAATATATAGATATAAATATGTACCGTACAAACAGTCAACCTTGCAATAACGCTCTTTGAAATACTGTGGATTCGGTACCGCCGATCACACCTCACGTCATCGAAAATAGCATATCAACAAATCCGCTGTTGAGCTCAGGTTAATCACGTTGTAAACTAGCGATTGCAATGAACAGTGTTCATCGTTCATATCCATGTTTTTCAGATGCTTAAAAACATTCAGGATTTTCTTGAATAATCAGATGAACATCGTAATAACTTATTTTAGACATCTTTATCATAAAGACATGCCATCAGCCGAGTACTTACGATGTTTTCTTTGATGCAACACACCACGTTGTAGCGTGGGTAAACACTGAGATCCAAGAACCTATGATGTCAGAAACACATAATTTCATTTTATTTAATCAAATTCAATCCCATTTTCATTCATTAAAACTGTTTACAGTGACAACGGAGAAAATGTGTGTGTAATGGCATCACCTCATTTTATTCGCGTATCGTATTTCACATTATTCTCAGCAATCACGAACAGATTACTGCCTCGTCAACCATTGACCCCTAGACCCGCGTTATTGACTCATTGAAGTCATATTGGACAATTAAATACCAACATCTTGTTTTTACAACCAAAGTGGCACATACCACGGGAAGTCAACGGTGTCTTGTCTAAATGTCTCCTACGTAAAATGTATACAGCCATGTAACCCAATGTGCTTAGCCTATATTAATTATTATGCTAATACGTTTGTAGAAAACATGCATTATACTAATACGATAGCAATATATAATATCCCTGTTAATATAACTGCTTAAGGTATATATTATTCTGATAACGGAATAGAAATTCTTTGATGTTATATTTTCGGATTGGTTTCAACTGAATCGTCGGTACATTGGACCAAAACATGTGTGCACAGCTGATTGCTATTTCCGGCATGTTTAAATAACAGGTAGCATAACAGGAACAACAACTGAATTATCATGTTTGGTGATGTTTGATTGCAAGTGTCCTGTACATGTATATATCTATTTTCATTTTCAAAGTTTGTTTTTTCACCTCCAACAATACCATATAGTTTTGACTGGGCACAATAGGCGAAATAGCAGTTCTGTTATGCCCATGGAAATATGATATGATACTATAACACAGGTGTTTAATAACACGGGGGGGGTTCACCCATGTACCCCAAGGTCCGTGTTATGGTGAGGGATGACTGTATAATATTTATAACTTTCTTATTGAGGGAGCTGGAAGCATGTGCCTTTCTGTTTTAAGTTGTAATGGTACTTCAAGTTGGACAAGTGTGATGTCAAATGTACCCAAATATGGTGAAACTGAATTGGTTCATCATTCTGTTTCTGAAGGGAGATCAGGAAAACATGGTGATTGTAATGCAAATTATTTTCTTGTTGAAAAATAATGCTCAGGGTGCACAGCCACTACAGATGATCTACCTGGATATATTCAGTGATGTAAAGATTGAGTATTTGGACTGTTTAAGGACTCACATGCAGGACTTAAAGGATGTTACCAACAATGTCCACTATGAGAACTACCGCTACAGCAAGTTAGCTCCGGTTGGAGGAGATGGGAAGGTTAAGCCAGGCTCACTCACAAAGTAAGATATTCTTTTTGTTTATTCAATAGTCAGCAGACAACATTTTCTGCAGCTGGAAATAATTAATTTCAGAATGAACTGGATCATTTTTATAGTATGTATCAGATAATTATTGTGTTCAGCATCAACTGGATGATTGTCTCATGTAGCCTGCTGATGACCATTGTGTTCAGTATCTACGGGATCATTTATAATAGTATCCAGTTGGTAACTGTTGCTTCTCTCATTGACTAGATTATTGTTTATGGTCTGCAACTTGTGATTATTTGTTACAGAGACCCACTGACCCAGATGGCTGAAGAGAAACGTGAGCATGACCTCAAGATGAAGAAAATGGAGGCAGAGATGGAACAAGTTTTCGAGATGAAAGTGAAAGAGAAAAAACCAAAACTGAAGGACAGTGAAGCAGATGTGAGTAGACATATGATGATTTAAAAAAAATAATTATAGGATATTTATATAGCGCACATATCCACGTAACTCGTACATACTCAAGGCGCTGGAGTGTTCCCTTGATCAACGGATGTCCTTTTTATTCTGGCATTGTGTTAACCAACTCAACTCCCTGGGGAGTATTCAACTTATGCAGCCTGTTAGGCGCAACAAGTTATCACACAGACTCGTCCTCACAAGGTACCCATTTGCAGCTGAGTGGACTGGGACACATAGTCACAGTATTTTGTCCTATGATAGTGCACGTTACTATACCCGCAAGTAAACTAGCTGTCTGCACATTTTCATGTGTCCACCATCTGGTCACCTACCATCGGATGAGTGGGTTCTTTTAAGTGCACAGGGTTGTGTACTGCTCACTAGGGATTGTGACAACACTGAATTTTAGCTCCAAGGGTTTTACACCCATTCACAAGTTGGATCAATCCAGGCACCTTTCGCTTATTAGCACGGCGCCTTAGACAGCTCGCCCACCATGCCCCCATGTCATGATTTGACTCTTTATGATACACCATATGTGACGTCACAGGAAACAGCTGATCGCATTGGCACATGTCAAATGGTGACCGGACAGGATTATGACTTCTCTTTTTTGTGGATTTTTTTGTGTGTAAATAGGTAGGTACAAAACTTAATATTTAATATTTAATTAATATAAAATTAAACTCAATACTTCAATATGTATTTTATTGATCATTTATAACAAAGTGGCTGTAATTTTCGTAAACTTCCAGTGCTGTTTCAGGCAGGTGTACCGCTAACATGTAAGATCATCCTGACAGGGCACTGACGAACTGAAAAATACTTTCGTGAAATTATATCTCATAGATAAGCCAACCCCCTTCTACAGACTGCTTTTTTTTCCCCCTCAAAATTTGGCTTATCTACGGTAATATACGGTACATGGATACTTCAAATGAATTCTCTTGGTATCATTTTGTTGTCACTGTATAACTGTCATGCACAGAACTGATCCAGTGATGTAATGTGCTGACATTAAGGTCAATCCTTTGCCAATCTCAAGCTGTCAGCCATGGACTAAAAGGCAATTTTGGTTTTATTTTGTTGTATATTTTGTTATCCCCCGTCGCGCTCTTAGCGCTAAGCGGGGGATATAGTATTAGGCTCCGTCCGTACGTACGAACGAATTGGAATATCTTAAGAACTGTTCTCCAGATTCTTTTCATATTTGGTACCTAGGTTCATCAGAGTATAAGAAAGGTCCAAGTCAGGCTTGGTGACCTTGACCTTCATTTCAAGATCACAAGGGGACTTTCATGTTTTACCTGCATGTTAAGCTTTACCTGTGATTTTCTTCATGTTACAAAGCTATATCTAGGGAAGAACCGATTTTGTGACCTTCACATAATTTTTCTTCAGCATGTAAGCGTGCATGTTAAGCTATCTCAGAACCGTTCACTGGCATATTTGAAACCAAGCTTTATCTAGGGAAGGTGCAGGGCCCAGTCAATTTTGGTGACCTTCACTTAATTTTCAAGGTCACAGAGACACTTTGAAAATTTCAGCATATTAACCTGCAGGTTATGCTTGTCAGCAAGATACCTAAAGAATAATTCACTTTGAGTTACTTCATATTTGACACCAAGCTTTATCTAGGGAAGGCACAGGGCCCAGTCGATGTTGGTGACCTTCACTTAATTTTCAAGGTCACAGCGACACTTTGAAGATTTCAGCATGTTAACCTGAATTGTCAGCAAGATATTTCAAGAACGGTTCACTGGATTTTCTTCAGACTTTCAAGACTTCCCTTAAATGTTTTTCAATAAGCAATTTCTTTAGTACTATTTTTGCAGATTTCATACACTATGACATTCATGTCAAGGTCAAAGTCAGTCTTGAAAATATGTGTGTGTTTGAACACCCTAAAGAGCAAGATATCAAGAGAGGTTGACTGGTCATGTTTTTGTTGACATTTAACTTAAACTTTCATTACTTTATAAGTTTGATTTGATATTTTGCGACGGGGTATTATGTCACCTTAGTGGCAATGCTTGTTTGCTTTTTTATCCCCCCGGCATGTAATGCGGGGGGATATAGTCAACACCTCGTCCATCCGTCCATAATCATGTTGTTTCCGGAGCATAACTAAAAAACCATTCAATATTTCTCAACAAAAATTGGTAGATATATCAAACAGAACGTAAGGTGGTGCCTTTTGCTATTTACAGATTTTTGTGATTTTTTTTTATCTCAGTTTCCATGGACTTGTTTTGGACTTAGTCTTAAAGGGAGGGACGGGCTTTGTTTCCGGAGCATAACTCAAAAACTTCTTAATATCTTTCTGCAAAACTTGGCAGATATGTGAGGCAGATCCCAAAGTGGTGCCTTTTGCTATTTGCATATTTTTATCCCCCCGCAACAAGTTTTGCAGGGGGTATTAAAATGGACTCTGTCCGTCCGTGCACATTTGTCTTTTCCGGAGCAGAACTCTAAAACCGTTCCATATTTTTTCACCAAACTTGGCACATAGATAGATCTGGTGGTGTACTGGTGCCTTTTGGAATTCTGAATAAAATATTTTTGGCGTTTCCATGGCAACAAGTTTGACTTAGCCTGAAATTGGTGGTACTGCTCTTTTCCGGAGCAGAACTCTAAAACCCTTCACTATTTCTTCACCAAACTTGGCACATAGATAGATCTGGTGGTGTACTGGTGCCTTTTTGTAGTTTTGGAATTCTGAATAAAATATTTGTGGCATTTCCGTGGCAACAAGTTCGACTTAGACTGAAATTAGTGGTAGTGCTCTTTTCCGGAGCAGAACTCTAAAACATTCACTATTTCTTCACCAAATTTGGCACATAGATAGATCTGGTGGTGTACTGGTGCCTCTTGGTAGTTTTGGAATTCTGAATACAATATTTTTGGCGTTTCCATGGCAACAAGTTTCACTTTGACGGAAATTGGTGTTAGTGCTTTTTTCTGGAGCAGAAACTTTTCAATACTCTCCTTTCACTTTTCTATATACACACCTAAATATTTGACATAATCATAACTCATAGACGTAATCATGAAGAGTATTTTGCCATTGCGGGGGATATTGATGACTTTAGCTTCTTGTGGGTTTTTTATCGGTTTCCATGGAAACAATTCGGTCTTAGTCTCAAAATGGAGGGGTGGGCTTCGTTTCCGGAGCACAACTTGAAAACTTCCTAATATCTTTCCGCAAAACTTGGCAGATATGTGAGGCAGATCTTGAAGTGGTGCCTTTTGCTATTTACAGATTTTTGTCATTTATGTTTTTCATGATTTCCATGGAAACGATTTGCACTTAGTCTAAAATCAAGCTTGACTTTAAGTAACTGTCAGATGATTTGTTCTATCAAAGATGTAGGGGTAGGGGCCCGCTTCACTTATCATCATGGGAGGATAGATTACTCTTTAACGGGGCTATAAGAGATATAGCCACAAAGGTTGGTCAGGATGCTCATTTGCAAGTCTCTGTGGAGCTATTGAAATTTCAACAGTTACAAGTAAAAGATTCGTTGCGTCAACGGCGGCCAGCTCGCTTTTTGCCGACCAACTCTGACCTTCGTTCGGGACCTCCTACTTCCTTTCGAGGAAGAGGTTCGACCAGAGGGCGTTCCAACCGTCAGCGCCGGTCATTCACTTCTTCTAGACCAGCTTCCGCTTCCGATCAGTCCTCCACTCAGATGACCGAGAAGCAGTGACTTGCAGACATCAGAGTATGATTGGGTCCTTCCGCCTCGAATCGTACCTATCAAGGCTTCCCCAGTAGACTCAAGATTTGGGATTTATGCCCTCAATTGGACCATCTTGGATGACCCTTACGTTCTCTCCACTCTGTCCAAGGGGTTTCAGCTTCCAGTCATCGGCAACCCTCCTCTTACATTATTTCCGTAGCACATGACGTATACCGCTCATCAAACGGCTGTGCTGCGATCCACCATAGATCCGACTCCTGCCGACCAAGGGTTTTACTCTCCAATCTTTCTGGTTCCGAAGAAGGATTCTGACAAATTGAGTCTCATCTTCAACATGAAGGTCTTCAACGAGATGTTCCTCCAACCACCGCCTCATTTTTCGTCCGTCTGTCCGTAATCATTTTCTTTCCGGAGCATAACTCAAAGACCGTTTGATATTTTTCAACAAAAATTGGTAGATATGTCAAACATAACCTAAGGTGGTGCCTTTTGCTATTTACAGATTATTGTCATTTTTATTTTTCTCGGGTTCCATGGAAACGTTTTGGACTTAGTCCCGAAAGTGAGGGTGGGCTTCGTTTCCGGAGCATAACTCAGAAACCGTATAATATTTTTTAACAAGACTTGGTAGATATATCAAACAGAACCTTAAGTGGTGGCTTTTGCTATTTACAGATTTTTGGCATTTTTATTTTTCCCGGTTTCCATGGATACGATTCGGACTTAGTCCTAAAAGTGAGGGTGGGCTTCGTTTCCGTAGCATAACTCAAGAACCATTCAATATTTTTCAACAAGACTTGGTAGATATATCAAACAGAACCTTAAGTGGTGCCTTTTGCTATTTGCAGATTTTTGGCATTTTTATATTTCCCGGTTTCCATGGAAACTATTCGGACTTAGTCCCCAAAGGGAGGGGTGGGCTTCATTTCCAAAACATAACTCAAGAATCGTTCAATATTTTTCAACAAAACTTGGTAGATATATCAAACAGATCCTAAAATGGTGCCTTTTGCTATTTGGCAGAATTTGGCATATTTATTTTTTCCCGACTTTCATGGAAACGATTCGGACTTAATTCCAAAAGGGAGGGTGGGCTTTGTTTCCGGAGCACAACTCAAAAACTTCTTAATATTTTTCAGCAAAACTTGGCAGATCCCAAAGTGGTGCCTTTTGCTATTTGCAGATTTTTGTCATTTTTATCCCACCGGCATGTAATGCGGTGGGATATAGTCGTCGCCTCGTCCGTCTGTCCGTCCGTCCATAATCATTTTGTTT